CTCTCTCTCTCTCTCTCTCTCTCTCTCTCTCTCTCTCTCTCTCTCTCTCTCTCTCTCTCTCTCTCTCTCTCTCTCTCTCTCTCTCTCTCTGCGGTCAACGTTCAGGCTTGATCTCCTGTAGTCCCTCCTTCGGGCGCGTAGGCTGGCCGACGTTCGTTTCCTTGTGGGCTCCTCTGTTGCGCGTGGCCGCGCGATGGCCGGTGCGCTGGCTGGCGATGTGGCACGCGGGCGTGGCGCGTACGTTGGAGTGATGGCTTCTCTGGGGGCTACTCCGTTGCGCGTGGCCGCACGATGGTGGGCGCGCTGGCTGGCGATGGGGCACGCGGGCGAGGCGCGCGCGTCAGGGCGAGGGTCTCCGCGCTTCGAATTCGAAGCGAGGCGGGGCGAGGGTGGCATGGGCGCAAGCGCGTGAGCGCTAACGCTACGGGGTTGCGCTAACCGGCAGCGCGGGCGCGAAAAAGATAGAATATAATCTTTCTAATTCTCCTTTCTATCCTTTTTCTTCTTTCTTTTGCTTTGCTCTTCCCCATTGTTGGGGTATTTCGTTTTACGGACTGTATGGTTCAGTTTTCTCAAGTGTGGTTATGGTAGAATTGTTGCTATTTTTGGTACCCTTTGTCTCCATCCCGGTTGGTTTTGTCTCGTTGTTCGGTCCACGTGGCGGTGTTTTCATGTGGGTTGTTCGTTCCATGTGGCGGTGTTTTCATGTGGGCTGTTCGGTCCACGTGGCGGTGGTTTCATGCGGGACTTGTCATCCGGGTTTTTCCTTTTGGCATCCTAGTTGGCTGGTTCCCGTTGTTTGGCCTATCGATGGGAGGCGGTGCTTTTAGGTGGGAATCGTTATCTGGGATTGTCTTTATATAGTTTTTTTTGCAGGCAACGGTGTCGATTGATATCCTGGTTGGTCATTGTCCCGTTGTTTGGCCTGTGATGTAGGGTGCGGTGCTTGCATGTGGGACTTGTCATCTAGGATCTGTTGTGTTTGTTTTTTGGCAACCTTGTCTGCATCCCGGTTGGTTTTGTCCCGTTGTTCGGTCTATTTTGGCGAACGTAGCGCTGCTTTCATGTGGGACCAGTTACCTGGGTTTTTTCGTTGTTCGGCCTATGAGAGCATGAATGGATTAGGAATAGGAATGCCAACATCTTGATGACGAACAAGTCCATCTGCTGTATATAGATATGTATTTGGGATTTCTTTTTTTGCAGGCAAGAGTGTTTTGGTATCCTGGTTGGTCTTGTCCCATCGTTTGGCCTGTGAAGTTCGGGGCGGTGCTTACATGTGGGCCTTGTCATCCAGGATCTTGTTGCCCCCTGTTTTGTTATATTTGGCTGTTCCCTTCCTCTTTTCTTTGCCTCTTTGCCTTTTGGCTGTGTGCAAGTGGGTCAATATGACACACGAGGGTGGGGGCAGTCGCCGCTCAACCACATCCACGTGGGCGGCCTTGTACGCAAGAGGTTCTGAGCAGGGGGAGTTGTAACTAAGAAGATAAAAAATGAATTGATATCTTTTTTGTTCGCTTTGTTTTTTTTCGTTTTTGTGATCTGATAACTTCGTGATGATATATATACCACCACTTCGTTAGCACCCTGCTACGGTTTTCTCCGGTCAGGTTGAGCGGCAGTGGTCGGGGCCGTCACTACGTGGACATGCTGTGCCTCTAGTGCCAGCGGTGTGTCTGGACTCTGGAGTGAATTTTTTGGCTGTGACAGGCCTTTCTTTGTTTCATGGGTGTTTTGTTGGCTTGTGATGGGGTGTGAACCGACAGTCTGTATAGTTTTCCATCTGGTGTGGGTGAGTGATAGTCTGCTTTGATTTTCGGCAAAGGTAACTTGAGGGCTGTGGTTGGTGCCCACCTCAGGGTATCAGTCGCCGGGCAGTCATTGATACCACAGCCGAGGTTAAGGCGGATTATCAGTTACCGTGTAATCGGTTAGGGGATTCTGCAGACTGTTGAGGGTTCAGCCTCCTGATGAGCGGGTGAAACTCTGATGAAACAGTTTGTCACAGCCCCTTGTTTGTTGTCCTCTTCTCCCTCTCTGCCTATATTTTTTTAATTTGATTTTTAATTTTTTAATTTTAAATTTGGTAAAGAATTTAGATGTGACCCTGAGGCAAAAGTTGTTCAGTTTATTCATCTGCATAACATGGGTTTTTTGAACTTTTTCCACTTTTTTTTTTTTCTTTCTTTTTTTTACTGGGACCTTCCGTGGTCCTTGCACGGCCAGGCCGCCCGGGAAATAGGGTGACCCGGGCGGCCTCGCTGGTAGCTATGATTTTTCTCAATTTTCACGAAATTGGGCGCCCAAAAAAAACTAGTATTTTGCAGCATTTTTGTATCCCCATGGCGTTGGACCATTGATGGTCCGGCGTCCTGGGGATGTCATACCATCTGACATGCCTCGACGTGAAGTACCGTCAGAATACATCCCAGGGTCCAAAAAAAATTAAAAAATAAAAATCCAGGTACATCAGATGGTATGGCGTCCCCAGGATGCCGTACCATCAACGATCCAACATCGTGGAGGCACAAAAATGCTAAAACTTAGTAAAAAGTTTAAAAGTACTGTTTTTTTAAACTTTTTTCCTTCTTCCGGATGCCCAATGTCATGAAAATTCCAAAAAACAGTAAAAACTGTCATTATCATAACTAAATTGCAGTTGGCTATACTACATTATCATAAATCCTACGAGTCCAATAGTACAGACCCGTGCAGTGAATGCTTTTCCTCCTCTTTCTCTGCCCATAGACAAGCCCTCCGATTGATTGTTCCGATTACGTGTTTTGGACTGTTTCGTCTTAAAGGCTGTCTGGTAGCTTGCCTGATACAAGCAGGCGCTGTCTTCCCGACTTCAACTGCTGCCTCCCCATTTCTCGAAGTGAGCAATAAAACTATAATGGCATGACCCCACTCAAGACTCGTTTTCTTTGATTGTCGACCAGTCGCTTTTGCTAGAGTTCTCTGTCTTTTTATTGTTGCTCAGTCTGCTGTGATCTGCATGCAGGTTGCTGGAGTTCGATCCCCCGATTCAAGTGCTGTCCATGGCAACAGGGCAGTATAACAGTATCATATCCACAATCCGGAAAGGTGTACCAAGCATACATTCGTGGGGTCCGAATTATGATGGACAACTGGGTCAGTATCCGTAACCTGATCCGTGAGAAAGAAGATGGAAAAGGGAGGCTGGACACAAAAGGGCATGCCCTCAATTTCAGTAATGGCATCTTCATCTATACAATTGGAGGCTGCTGCACGTGTAAAAAAAAAGTAAATAAGACAATAAATGTCATGTCCACAAATTTGATTTCTCCCCATCTTTTTCCATTTTGAAGTTTAAGCCGTTGCCATTGCAAGTAATAAAAGTAATCCCAGGCCCATCCACCATCCAGTTATTCCCCTGGGTGGTGCATGGCACACCGTCAAGAACGCTCCACAGTACAGTCTATTCATGGGGAGCAGCATTTGCACGGAGTCAGGCCCAGCATCCCATGGTACAGGATCTCGTACATCATAAAAAAAAGACAGTTGATGCATGCTCATCGTGAGATGAGCGATGCAAGAATCCGAAGGGATCGCCGATGTGAAGGAAAGGACTCGGAAAGAACCAATACAAGACAGTGTAGCACAGCAGAAGACTCAAAGACACGACTTGACTCGTCAGACTCAGACTCGCCTCGCACCCACATCATCACACATGCCAAACCAGCAAGGAGGAAGGGCATACATGGACGAAGATCCCTCCTTGCCCACACACACGGGGAACATCCATGGCATGATGGGGGTAAGAAGGAGACGAAGGAGAAGAAGAGGGGAGGAAGCCAGAAAGAACTCAAAATCGTCCCCGAAATAGTCTCCTCGTTGAATGTCTGATGGCCATCACCACACAGTGTTGAAGTCGGAACCTGGGCACTACTGGCCTGGAATAACCACTGCCTGAAATCTCTCTCTCTCTCTCTCTCTCTCTCTCTCTGTCTCTCTCCTGTCTCTTATACACATCTAGATGTGTATAAGAGACAGCCAACATCTTAATAAGTTAATAATAATAATTAAC